ATGTCTTTATGGACCTTGCTTTGTTCACTGGTGTGCAGTCATGTTGGAACAGGAAGGGGCCATCCCCAAACTGTTCCCACAAAGTTGGGAGCATGAAATTGTCCAAAATGTCTTGGTATGCTGATGCCTAAAGAGTTCCCTTCACTGGAACTAAGGGGCCAAACCCAACCCCTGAAAAACACCCCCACACCATAATCCCCCCTCCACCAAACTTTACACTTGGCACAATGCAGTCAGGCAAGTACCGTTCTCCTGGCAACCGCGAAACTCAGACATGCCCATCGAATTGCCAGACAGAGAAGCGTGATTCGTCACTCCAGAGATCATGTCTCCACTTCTTTAGAGTCCAGTGGCGGCATGCTTTACACAACTACATCCTACGCTTTGCATTGCACTTGGGGATGTAAGGCTTGGATGCAGCTGCTCGGCCATGTAAACCCATTCCATGAAGCTCTCTACGCACTGTTGTTGTGCCAATCTGAAGGCCACACGAAGTTTGGAGGTCTGTAGCTATTGACTGCAGACAGTTGGCGACTTCTGTGCACTGTACGCTTCTGCATGCGCTGAGCCTGCTCTTTCATTTTACGTAGCCTTCCACTTCGTGGCTGAGTTGCTGTTGTTCCCAGTTGCTTCCATTTGTTATAATGCCACTAACAGTTGACCGCAGAATATTTAGTAGCAAGGAAATTTCATGAAGCACCTGAATCAAATGATTTGGAGGGGTCTCCCAATACTTTTGGCAATATAGTGTCTCGGCAGTCAGTCAAAAATTCACCAGTCAGCAACAATTTATGTTAACATTTTTTGGGGACACATAGACACATAGAGATTTCTTTTGGTGGTATTTAATCACTACTGGGGTTTTTATTTTTGCTCACTTCTCGATCTATCCCTGCACTAAGCCTTGACTGTCACTCACGGCTCCCTGCAGGCATTCTCCCCCTCCCCTGTCCGATCCTCCAGCGCTGACTGGCGGAACGGACGGGGGAGGGGGCGGGCACAGCTGGGTGGATCTCGACAGTAATGTCGGGATCTGTCCTGGCTGCAGCGTTTCAGTATACCGCGAGCTGCAGCTCGCGGTATACTGAGCTTAGGGTGACGGACGCTAGTTAGTGTCCTCCCGTTACCCTCAGGAGATCTATGGGGAAAAGCCCAGACCCCATAGTTCTCCTTTTAAGGAACCCTGTGTCAGATGCAGTGAAGCAGCTTAAAAAAAGCAGTGCAGAGATTGTTACAATGTGCAAATGAAGAATAACTCATCTGTTGTGTGAGCGGCTGGACAGGGTTGCGAATTATTGTGCACTGTAAGCAGCTTGTCTGGGTAATCGCTCAGATCTGGCTCTGCATTTTGCGCTGAAGCCTAACAGGAAACACTAGCAGAAGATCATATTTTATTATATGCAGGATAGACTAGGAGATCGGATAGAAGGCCAGTAAAACGTATGAAATTAAAACATATATGATTTATTTAAAATATTCATTTTAGTTGCCTTATAGTGGAGTCATTATATCCGTGTGCAAGGTGTTCTCTCCATACAGCGGTAACATTTGAACCCTTTCCCTGCCACCGCCGTAAGGCATACGGCGGAACAAAACTGTTCCTTAAACGCCAGGTCAGTATGCCTTGCGGCGGTGGCATTTACAGTTGTGCTATAAGCTCATGCCGGCATCTGCAGCCTCTCCTCCCTGCCTCCCAGCCTCTCCCCT